TAAAGAATGCGACGTATGAAATATAACCAAGCCTTCTTCCACTCGCAAGCAAGCAAGCAGGCCTGGAACATCTGGGCTGTTCGACTCTGGCAAGGGAAACAAGCAGCTATGCCAGCGGGGCTCCTTCCTCAAGGGCGGGGGACACCCAAGTAGTCTCCATGCATCACCCCCCCCCAATCTTCTTGAGAGAGCTGACGGAGGGTGACCTATGCAGGCAGCCTGTGGCTGTTTCCTTCTTCGCTCAGTCTCCCGGCCTCGCACAGAATGTACGTACGGTCAGCAAGTGGCCACATGCAGCCACCCACCAAGAAGGTGTGCAAGCTGGGGGGGGGGTTGTCTTTGCCTCCTGAGCTCCTCTGAGCCCCCAGGGGTTCAGACCAGAAAATGGGCAATGGATGGCCAGGATCAGAGAGGGTCTGGGATCCTGTGCCAGGTTAACCTTGGCTTAAGAGCATTTCCACACTCTTCACTGATGCCTGGTGTCGATGAACTTCCTTTCTTCCTGGGAGGCCAAGCTGGTGAACATGGTTAACGTCATTTCCCCCTCCAGGCACACAACGACCCTGTAGAGTAGTCAGGCTGAGAGGCAAAGAGAAACTAGCCCAAGGTCACCAGTAAGTTCAGTCTGAATAGGGATTTGAACCTGAATAGGATCTTGTGGGTGCTATTAGACTGGCTGTCCTTCGGGGTTTACTGTGTGGTTGCCATGCTTTGTCTCCCCCCCTTTTTTTTTTGGCAGGGCTGGCACACAAGACAGTTGCCCCTTCCTTCTTGTCCTGCGCTTTTATAACTTAAAAAACTAAACCAAACCCAAAAACAATCCTGTGTAGGTTTCTTTTCTTTTCTTTTTTCCCAAAGGACTAAGAGGCACAGCCTATTGCATTATACCATAACATAGTTAATTAAAAAATAAATTGCCAGAGCCCTTTTTGGTGTTTCCATAAAGTGTGCCTAACTCGGCCATGGCTAATTGCACCAAACGGAGGAGATGCCATATTGTCTCTCAGCCCAGGTGTGTGACCCGACGGCCACTGGGCGCCTCGCCCGTCGGCTGCCATTTGGCCCCTGCCATCTACTGGTAAATTGGGAACTTACCCCGTGGGGATCCTGCATCCAAAACCCACTTTTCGGCATGCAGTCGCGGTGGCGTTGCCCAGAGAGACATTTATATTTCATGACTGTACTGTTGTGTTGCAGCCCTGTAGCGCCATAATTTGGAAACAACCACTGTAGTACAATTAGGGTGCGAGAATGCTCTTCTTCTCCCTTGGTGAGAAAAACATTTCTATGTCCTAATGTGGCAATGTTCACGGTGGTGCTGGGATGCAGTGGTGATGATGATGATGCTTCTGTGAGGGCAGCGACAAGAGAGGATGATGCGTCTGGACGGGATGTGAAGCGGGCTGGAGAAAGAAAGGTGGGGAGGTCTCTGTTCCTTGGAGGTTTTAATTAGAGGTCGGGCAGCTATCTGGGTTTCCTGCTTCTGCAAGACGCTCAGCTTGATGACCCTTTGGGGTCCCTTTTTCCGATCTGCTTTCCTAGGCTCCTTATAAAGCAAGGGGATCCTGCAGTGCTTAGCAGGGTGGGGGTGGGGAGAGGAGGATGGGAGCTTTTCTGCAGGGAGAGCAAAGACTAACGTCAGCGTCACACCACAAAATGGTGCTTTGTCCTACCTAAGAGACTCTGACACCCCCCCCCAAAGGAAACATCTGTAGGTCATTTCTAAGATATTTTGCCAACAACTTGGAAATGTGATCTCTGGGGGCGTCCTCTCACCAAGTCCTCCAGGGAGGAACGGTCCAAAGAAGACAACGTTTGCAAGCTCTGGATTTCCCTCTCTTTCGGGTGTGTGTGTATATTTAAAAAACAAAACAAAAACCTAACTGCAAAATATCGTGTTAATCATTAAAAGTCTAACTTACCAAAGAAAAATGGGGCCAACATTAAAGGGGGCAAGGCATGTGTGTTGCTGAGCATCAGCCTCCCTTCCTGTTGGCATTTCTGTCACGCCCACAGGGGTGGCAGGAACAAAGTGGGGGGGAGACGACATGCTGGTCCCGCACAATGCTCTTGATGGTGTGGAGTCTCCCCTCCTACCACTCTGCTTGGGCCGGCCGTGGCAGAGTGGTTGTGGAGTTGCGCTAGTCACCCTCTCTTCTCCCCCCCCACGCCCCCCCAGCACAGCTTTGGAGGAGTTGGCTGGAGCAGAGCAGAGCCCCTCAAACCCCCCTCCCCATTTCCATGCCCCGACTTTCCCCGGCAGCGCCCGGGCGTGGTGGCGGAGGGCGTCTGAGGTGCCGACTTCCGTGGCTGTTTGCCTGCTAACACCCTCCTCTCCTTTACCTTTTCTCCCACAGACTGATAACCCAGCGGCAGCCCAGCTGGACAAGGTTCGTGGCGCACCTTTGGGGTTTTCGGTGGTGGGACGGGGGGGAGGCGGCTTGTTTCTCATGTGGCGTCCATACCGGGTGGGCGGGCAGGCGGGCATGCTTGGTGTGTGGATGCTGCGCGCATACGCAGACATGCATTCACATGACCCTCCCGTGCCGTGCCCATGCCTGCTGCCATCAGAGTCGTCTCTGCTCATGCCCACCGGCGGGCACGCTTGGGTGCCACCACCATACCTGTGCTTGGCTTCTGTACGGTGTGATTCTGAAACCATGGCAGGGGTGGGAGAGGGGCCAGTTGCTGCGGCTGGCCCCTTCGTGGGGTGCATGGCCCCCTTCCTCCCAGCTGGCTTTCCGCCCCTCCTCCCCACCCCTCTG